CGTATTTACATTTATATATTTATATTCATATAATTTATATCATATATAAATATATTTAATATATAAACGTAACATGCATGTGTATGTGTGTGTGTGTGTATTTATACATACATAATAAATATACACAGTACACACACATATATTATGTAAACAAAAACTGTTTTTTTATTTACGTTTATATTTATTAATTTATATTATAATATATATTTTTATTGTATTTAATTATTTATAAATGTATGTAAAATGATGGCAATGGTGGTCCAGACTACAATTCTAGACTACGATTGATTGATTGATTGATTGACTGATTGATTGATTGATTGATTGATTAATTGTTTGATTGATTGATTGATTGATTGATTGAATAAAATCTACAGAAATGTTCAACATCCTTGCCATAAGAAAATTATTTTCCACAATTGAATACCCCTAAAAAAATCTCACTGCTCAATAAGAACATTTCTCACCAAATTCCTGCAAGATGAAATGATTTTCAGACTGATTTTTAGTGACTCTACGTTTGGTTAGTGTTGATTGTCTTCACTGAGCTCATATTCAGCAGCGGCTCGACGGTCTTCTGTCAGATCTCCGGAGAATCAGGGATTGATTGATTGATTGATTGATTGATTGATTGATTGATTGATTGATTGATTGATTGATTGATTGATTGATTGATTGATTGATTGATTGCCTTAGTATCAATGTACGGATATTTTTGACATCTGTAACCAATGTCAATATTTCTGTTACTTTTTCAGAGAGGATGCAGAAGCTCCTAAAGCCAAGCTGGTGAAGCCCAACTCCCTCTCCTCATCTCGCTCTGGCAGCTCCCGCTCCGGTGCTTCCTCCACACAGTCCATGGTGCACAACAGCACAACCCGAAGCCAACGTCCACGGCCACCCGCTGTCGCCACCCTCAAGGAGAACGGACAGCCCCACGGGTTCCCCCAGTCTCCCCCGGCCTACACGCAGGTCGTGCCTAAAACCCCAGAAACCCCGGCCACCCCAAAATTCAGACCCCCCAATCCTCCAGTGGGCATGGCCATCCCGGCGGGCGTCATGGTCCCTGCTCAAAGCAAGGCCTTTCAGACAGTGTAGAGAGTAAAGGAAGCGCAGCCTGGTGCGGGTCTCCTTACAAGACACCCAACAGTGACTCTTCCAAAAGTTGCAACTACGATTGGAAAAATAAAATACACACAAAAAATAAAAGCATAATTAAAAAATAAAATCAATCATATAAAATCTAAAAAGATGAATGCATATTTACAAGGGAAAATACACAGCGCTTGCCCCCTTCTGAAGTATTAAAAAAAGAAAACAAGGGAGGAACTGAAGAAAAATAATTTTTATTCTCATTCTTTGGTTCTCTCTCCCCTTCTTTTGATCTCTTGGCACAGTCTGACCCTTTTTCACATTTTTTGTTTTGCTTTCTCTTTTTGAGCTCTTGAAGGCTTTGTGGGCGATGGGGTGGAAAGATTTCCCCAAGTGCAGTTTATTTATTTAATGCATCAGAGAGACTAAAGGTCCAAGGGCTGGCTGGGTTTATGAAGCATGATGGCGAGAGGAAGGACCAGCCGATTCTGAAGAGAAATGAAGGATATTATCCAAGAACCTGTTGTTTCTGTCGAAGACGTGGGGGCAGCTCTGGGAACATGAACTGTCCATCTCATTCCCATTCAATTTTCCCAGAATGCAATGCAACATCGACTGTGGCTTGGACATCAAAATCAAAGGCAATCTTATTAATACCTTAACAAACCATTGAAAAGAAGTGAAGTGATCGGAAGAAATGGTCCCCGATGGACATTTAAGCACGTGGATGACGCTGTGTCATTGATGTAGCGACACAGAGAGACTTTAATAGTTCAGTCATCATGTAACACACTGTGGGGCGAATTCACTGGACGGTTTCGCTACCTTAGCATGCTATATTTCACAAAAAAACACCCGTTTAAATGATGCCGTTGTCATTGGTTTTTGCGCAAACCCACTTTTTCTATGTAAATTAGGCTGATATTTTATCTTTTCATCAAAAATCACTGCTCCTAATGTTTTGTTATTACTGCCCACAGATGCAGATGGAAAGCAGGGATAATTAATCAAATGATGATTAAATGATGGAAGAAGAGCATTGTATCTGGTAAACCTTTATTTTGGTAGTCCACTTCCAATAGCTATAAGTAACTTTGCAACTACATATCAACTAGCAGGCATTAGAGTATTAGACTGTCTACTTAATATCTGCTCAAACTTTATTGTGATGGTTCCCAACAGACATTCAATTGATTATAAGTTTTCAAGTTTGTCAATTTATTCTATTAACCCTAATCCTAACCTAACAGTCTACTAATACTCTAATGAGAATTAGTTGTCATGTAGTTGCAAAGTTACTTAGTAGAATGTCTGACGTTGACTATCAAATGATATCCCAATGTGTCATGCAGTCAAGCGCACTTTAATCACCGTTTCAGGTGCCTTGCATTGCTGTATGTACATTCTCAGTAAAGTACACCAGATTGCAGTAATCTGCTGTATCCTTCACAATCTAGCACTCAGAACGCAGCCAGTGTCACAGCCAGTGATTTGCACAATTCGTGAACTGGGTGTTAAAAACACGACGTCTGGAAATCGACAATGCCATTGGCGAGTGCAATTGATCCTTAGTGAATTCCCCCTGTGTGTCAACTGCTCTCTACACACTGCTATGCATTTTTGCAGTTAAATCTGTGTATATATATGGAGTGTACTGTACATCCTTGACAGAAAGTCTGCGGTCTGGTTTCGGATGTCATCCTCAGCGTTTCATGGACTTAAGTTTGTATTACATACCGACCGCGGTATATTTGTTACAGCTGTATTTCCAATGATACTGAAACCAAAACCTGTCACGAATACTATGAATGTGTATAAGTCGAAGATAGTTTTGGTTTTTATTTATTTTTTCCTTCTTTTCTAGAATACCCAGCGGTACTGCATAATAGCATATGAGGCACAAGTAATTTTGGACTGTAATCTCACAGTTCTGTGGACAAGTAAATGAAAGGGAATGCCATAACAGGGACTTATGTACAGAGCGTGTGTGAAACTAGTGCGTGTGTGCACATTTGCGGTACTCTCCTTCTAGTTCGTGTATGCACCATGGTACCTTCCCAGGACTCTCCTAGGACCCTCTAACAACAAGCTGTCTCAAGATGACTAGCTCTTTGTGCCAAGCCTCCGCCAAGCACTGTCAAAACCCTCTCCATTAGCGGTGTCTCGAAGCCCCTGGGAAGATCTTGCTTGGTGCATTTGTGAAATTTGAAATGGACAAGTTGCCTGTTTTGTGTGCCTTCACAATGAATTCATCCCCCGAGATTGCTTTTGTCCTTGGTTCTTTGCAATGTACCAGACAAAAAAAAAAAAAAAAAAAAAAAAAACAAGTTTTACTACTTAATTCAATAAATACAATAAAGAACCAAACCCCCAAAATGTTTCCAGAGTGTTCTAGAGGCGGACCAAACGCAGCCCCACGAATAATGTACACTCTGTAGTCATGATCCTGTTTTATATTGTACATACAGATAAATATACGCACACAATATCCTTTAAGTCATCAGTTGAAGATTGGGGTTATAGGCCATAATAAATATGTAGATGAGGTATTATGCATTTTCAGAGAGTAATAATTGGTCATTGTAGCCCCTGACCCGCTAAGCTCCCTTTAATAAGTAAAATAATGTCCTACTTAATGGCTACTTGTATATCTGCCATTGATGGACCTTAATATTTAAGAGAGGAAAGCCATAAGACGTGAGGAAGCAAGCATACAACACTCTGTTTGGGCCACTTTCAAGTGTACGTGCCAACCTTGTTCGTCATTCTTATTGGGTTGCAGTCTGTAATGTAGCCGAGTGCTGCCTATGCCAATTCGCCACCTTCTTGTTACCTTCCCCAGCAATTGTGTTGGATACACACCGATATACTTCTTCCCAAGTGTACACACACACTACTTCCCAAGTGTACACAGCCTAACACGACCTCATAAATAGAGACGCACTCGAGACGCGCTCTCCAGAGCCGCATTCTCCACGAGGCGGTGTAGGCGGTGTTGCTGGCTGAACTGTTGTCAGTAAGTGTGATGGATGGGCTGTCATGCAGAGTGGGGAGTGAATGATGGGAATTGTAAGGAGAACACAGGGTCCAAACCCCAATACCTTTACCCCCTAAACAGAGAGTGAGACGAAACCCATCCAGTTGGGCCTTCACAATATGGCTGTTTTTGTAGGCAGTTACTCTTCTTGTCCAAGTGTTGAAATATTGGCTCTGTTCCAAAACCTATTGAGCTGCCTTGCTGTCTACTGCCTATATAGGTAGCTGGCTCAAAGGTTAGCATCCTAATAGAGTGCAATAGTGCCAGTCCATTTTCAGTGGCCTTGGTTCCTGAAGTATTTTTCCCATAGATTGATTTTTAAAAAGTCTTAATTCAAGCATTATAAGCCATGAACCACCGTTACGAGGTGAATCACAACATGAAAAACTTTGATTTGAAGCAAAAATATATTTGAACATAAAATATTTGAAAATAAGACAAATGTACAACTTTATTGAGGGAAAGAACTACAATCCCATGAAACCACTGCGAGTGATACTGTATATACGTAAATAGACAATTGGACTGGAGCTAAGGAGTTTATTTGGCGCGGTTTGCTTGTTGTGATTCTCTGATTGGTGAAGATTCCTTAGCACAGGCATGCCCAAACTCGGTCCTGGAGGGCCGGTGTCCTGAAGAGTTTAGCTCCAACCTCAATTAAACACACCTGAACCAGCTAATCAAGCTCTTAATAGGCATACTAGAAACTTGAAGGCAGGTGTGTTGAGGCAAGTTGGAGCTAAACTCTGCAGGACACCGGCCCTCCAGGACCGAGTTTGGGCACCCACAGAATCATGGATCATAAATCACTCATTGTCCACCAACTTGGATGGAAGTTTTTTTTTTTCTGATTGAAATGCATCAGGTGATTGCAATTTACAAAATGCTGCCTTGCTGTCTACTGCCTACATAGGTGAAGAGCCTCCAAGGCTGACTTATCCTAACCTATAACATGCTGTTAAATTAGGACCATGCTAATGCCAAACTCTGAAATTAAAGGTTGAGGATTCAGATTTCAATACAGTTTACTAAGCTGAAAGTACAATTGCTCCATATGTACAGAGTTTCAGAATAAAAATACATTACAATATTGACTAAAATAGTCCATTTTAATTAGATTTATCTGAGCTTATTGCAATTCATCATGCAACTGCATTATACGAATGAAGGTGATGCTGCCATCGGAAGGTATATCAGAACCTTTTGGAACAGCCTTATATGCTTTAAAATGCTGCCTACATAGGCAGCTCTGTAGGTTTTGGAACAGAGCCGTTGTTCTATGTTTATTTTGGTCCTTTTTCTGTTTTAGGACATTACAGCACCAAACTAGTCAAGATCGGCCCACTTTATTTCAAGGAAAGCTGATTGAAAGCTTGCCTTCCAGCAGTTCCGTTCTTACATTCAGGCACTTGAGGTGATTTGTATTCCTTTCTTAGCCCTCCCCAGCAAGAAGAACCAGTCTATATCCTCAGACAATGAATCTTTAGTGGGTTTTATTTCAACACTGTTAAAGAGCTGGCATGGTGTTTAGAAACCATCAGTGTATGTACACTCTTCCATAGAGCCGCCAAAGCATCTGAAGTGGTGCTCACGTTGCATGAGGACATTCAGTTTTGAATGGGAGCTCAATCCAGAGAATGAGTTAAGGTCCATCTGCGATGTATTTTTGAGATAACACTCTATTTAAAAGACGTACTTGACTGTCTGTAGCCTCTAACCGATCATTGTTACCCATTATAAAATAATGTCCTATGTCTAAAAAGGCTCCTTCGACTCCTCTTAGAAACTGTAGCAGTATGTGTTACTTCGAGGGGTGTAAAAGGGAATTCTTTTCCATTGGAAAAGCAAAGAGATTGCATGTTATGGCCTAAAGGTCAGATATTGGGAATGCTTTGCTTCTGTGTTCATACCTGTATTCAGCTGAATATGTAAGTGTAAATATGACCAACATCCTCTCTGTCTCTTTTTTTCCATTCACATTGCTTTGTTTTAACATTTACTGTGCTTTCCTCTGTTATCTTGAGAGATTTTTTTGTTGTTTTTCTTTTGTTTGTGAATGTGGGAACTCGGGCCTGTATTTGCCCGAGAGTCCTCGTCTGGTGAGACAGAAGGGAAAATGCTCATGCTCTTCATTTCTCTTTGCTGTTGCACACATTTTGAGTTTTGTAAACCAGTTTGTTCATTTTGAAGAAATTCCATTCTTGTAAATATGTCCCTCTACAAGTAAAAAATTGTATATTTTTACGGACTCTGAGTTATTAATACTTCATTTGCAAATAAAATATTCAACGACAAGCTATTTGGCAGCCCATTATTTGATTAGTTCAAAGCGAAACCACACGCATTTGTATAAACAAATGTGTGTAGAGAGAAAAAAAAAATACCTTTATCATCAGCAATGTGGAAATGATGCTGAAAACAAAAGAGGTGTAATTCAAATATTATTCAAAAAATATTATAATTAGATTTCAGCTATTATGTAGACACAGTGAAATGAGTGAAACAAGTGATATCATTAGACAGCAATAACATTCCCACACTCCAGTTTCATGCATCCTTGATTCAGCAAATTATCATTTAAATGAAGATGACATTTACATTGTTGTTGTGACTTTTTCAAACACACCATGTTCCAATTTGATTGCACTTTTAAAACCTTCAGCTGAGAATTTAGGGCTGGGTTTCTCAACTCTTTTCCAAAGTTTAGCTCCAACCCAGATCAAACTCACCTGTCACGTTGTAGTAGTCCTGAAGATCTTGATTAGCTATTTCAGGTATGATTACTATGATTTCGGACATATGTTACCCTGGACCACAAAACCAGTCATAAGGGTCAATTTTTCAATTTATACATCATCTGAAAGCTGAATAAATAAGCTTTCCATTGATGTATGGTTTGGTTAAAAACAGGGTCACATGTACTCTTCTCATATACCCTTTTCCTCCTATATAGTAGGAAGTAGGCAAATTTGGACAAATTTAAGGCCATATGTCCATAAAAAAACACACACACACAACATTATAATCAGTATATTTGCAGTAAAGCAAGCACAAGCATAAAACAACTGACAAATTCAATACATTAAATTTGCCAGGGATAAATATGGTTTGTGCCAGTCAGAATGTTGTGTGTGTGTGTGTGTGCGTGCGTGCGTGTGTGTGCGCGCGTGTGTGTGTGTTGAACTATTCCCGTCAGGAATTCATAATATTAGTATATCCTGTTGATTAATGTTTGATTATATAGACATTAGTATTTATATTTGTATGATAAACAGTTTCAATTCTAAGTCGTCACATCTCTAATGTAAAATCTGGCTCCTGAAGCAAAACCAGGTGTGCAAATGCAACACTCTGAAAAAGTGGTATATTTTATAGACAAATAGCCCTCATGTTCTGTTGAGATTGACTTTGCTGTGTTTATGTTTATGGTGCAAAATTAAAAACTTTGGCTATAAATTATTCTAAGAAGTTCCTCCGATGTAGTCAAAAAGCAGATATTGTTGAAGCATTACCCCTGTTTCATGCAAATGTGAATCTGTTCTAGTAGCTAATGATGTTCATGTTTGAGGTCGATCTGACCCCAGAAAAAACCATGTTAGAAAACAAGTATGAAATAATAATAATAATAATAATAATAATAAATCTGAATAAATAGCTGCACAATTGCTACATTGTATGAGAGAATAATTCCATGTGAAAATGCATTTCATTTATTTATATTGTACACCTGGGGCCTCTAAAACCCCAAACATTTGGACAGCTTTGGACAGTTAAGTTGAATTTTTGCCTAACAGCAAATGTCATTTCAACTTAATGCAATGTTAAATATATATTTATTATATTATGTTTTTTTGGTTAAAATGACTTTAGGGTCTCTTATGCTGCATAGAAAACATGACAGACAGACATATCGGTGCATACAGCAGCACTCTGGCCTGTTAGTCACTCACTCAGATGCACATTTGTTGTCAAACTCTGCTCCCTAGTGTCAGAGTGAGTCCATGTTTACAGTCTACAGGCTATTTTCAGACCATTATTTGGACTCAATTAGATTTTTCAAACAAAATGCCAGACAATAAATAAACCAGCAGGTATGGAAGAGCAATAAGACCAGTTGAGACTATTTAATAAATCAATACTGTATATAAGTTGTGGTGGCTGAGAGTTCTGTGGAATCTTATGTACTGCAGTCTATGAGAACATGAGTACTGATGAACATTAAACAATAGTCACATACATTATTCTTTGTAACGTGAAGGGTTAATACATGCTCTCTTAAGCTTAAAAAATCAATCAATCAATCAATAAACAACAAAACTTCTCTCAGTTAATCTTTTCTAGGACAGAGAAAAATCATTATGCTTACGATGTTCCAAAGAAGAAATTTTCCATATTGATTTTTTTTTAACATCTGTTTTACCTGTATTTTGAATTTTGCACTGCGTTGCATTGTCTTTTAGGGTTAACGAGAAAATGAATCCATATAAAAATTACAAGTAACACTTTGCAGTTGTTAACATTAGCTAACATGGCTCAATAATGTAAAATACTAGTAACACATCTATTAATCTCAGTTAATATTAATTTCAACATTTACTAATATTACTAAAATCCAAAGTTGTATCTGTAAATATTTATTAATGGACCAGGGCTAACATGAACTAACAATAACAATTAATGTTAACAAATATTAATAAATGAATTGTTCATTGTGTTAATCAATGCATTCATTGATGTTTACTAATTAACCTTATTTTAAAGTGAAAGCACTACAAAATGATTGTAGCTTTAACTGTAATTAAAATATTAACTGAAAATACAAAAAGTAATTTAAAATATTAACAAAAACTAGCCTATATCTAATTAATGCTAAAATAACACTGATATAAACCATGTAAGAATCAAAGTTATGATTCATTATTAACTATGACTGTGTCTCATATTCACATGTCCATGTATATTTTTGCACACTTCCATCTTCCAATCTTTTTTTCTTGTGTCTCCTGTGACACTACAGATGATGAAGATTACATTTTGTGACCCAAATTAAAGCACATTTCACCGTCTGCAGAGCCTAATTACGCAACGGCTATAAAGTCAATTGGAGAAGTTAATGGGATGTTATATTTAACAGCCGTTCTGCATGATCCTCCTTTTAAAAACCTACATGCCAACAAAGAGCTCAGACGGCGTTCATCAGACAGCTCACCTCTCATCTGTGTTCGTATGAATGCAGTTCTGTCAGATGAGGGAAATCCAGTTGCTCGTTGAGTTCAGTGGGTCGGCTTCTTTCACAGTCTTACATTTCCAAAGATTAATGGCTCAGTTTTAGTGAGCTGTCACCAGAGACCTGTGGCCCATTTGTGGAAAGTACATTGAACATTTCACCCTGATTATACTTTTTGAGGTTAGTGATGGATTTGAGAGGAAATTGTGTCTGAAGGAAAGCTGGATTCTAGAAAACTTTATAAGAAAAAAAAAGATTGCAAACTTTTGATTACTTTAATATATCTAGATGTGGCATAAGCATGAAGTAAAAAAATATATATTTTCCTGACACCCTTAATACATGATGTGTGACCGCACATCACTTATAATTAACTTCCAAAATAATATTTAGAAGAATTTTTTGTGTGATACATTTTTTTTTGTCATGAATAGCATGAATTAAGTATCAAATTCATGGGGTTTGTTTTACAGATTGACTTTTAACAACCTGAATGGCTTAAACACTTTAATTAGGATTCTCAAAAACATATAATTTTTTGGGGGAACAAAAATCAGAATTTTTATTATCAGTATTCATTTGCCTGGAAGAGAAAGCCTGTACATTTGAAATCTGCTAAAAATGTATTTATTTATTTATAATGGCATATAAATGACATTAGAGTTAAAATATGTTTGGATTTTTTTAATTACTTTTGTCAGCTTTAATATCATAGCTTTTGATTTTTCCCCCTTGTTTCTTACAAAATATGTATTTATAATTGCCTTTCATAAGTACAGTTAATTAAATTATAAAGCAAGGCATTGGGAAAATTGGGAAAAGAAACCAAATTTGAACAAAGAGGGGGTTTTCGTCCTAAATAAATGAATAAATAAAAGTCTCTTATCATCCTAGCAAATTCTCAGCATTATATACTCTTTATATATTTTAATGATGGAAAATAATTAAACACATTTTTTAACAAGCAGTTAGAAAACGAATAGAGAGTGCAAGTGTTTGAGGGTCAAGTGTCAAGAAAACAAAAAAGAAAACAGATAAATTAGAATTAGAATAGAGCGTGCTAGAGTTAGAGGTTCAAATAAAGATGGGAGAGATGTGTTTTTAGTGTTTACATAACATTAAACGTTACATTGCTCTTTTAGTTTTTTTGTTTGTTTTTTTGCTGTCCATCAAAGTTCCAAATACAACATATTTTCTGTAAAACGGTCTTTGATTTCATGGCCTTCGCTGCACCTGATGCAGACACGCATGCGCGCCGGTGAGCTCAGCGCCTGACACGCTCCTATAATGTTCCCGGTAATCCCGAGAAAGCCCGATGGAGTGCTCTTCTCTTATCCACGGGGGGAAAAGCTAATGAAGGAGTCAGCAGAGCATCACACCACCGTTTCATCACTTGCTGTCCCGCCATGGAAGGAAAATATGTGCTGATTCCTCTGTGCAGCGTGAGCGCTAAAGATCTATAACTCTGAATGACAGCTGCGCTGCTCGGAACTAACCCGGGTTTCAGCTCTTTTCATTCTTGATCTGAGGACTGAAAGAGGAGACAGGAGGTTTGGATAGATGGCGTTTGGACACCTTATACTGCAGCTGAAGCTGGAGGAAGCGTCTGAGGCCAGTTTACTGAAGAACACTCTGAGACCCTTCACTCATCTCCAGAAATACAGCAGCTCACCTGGGAAGAGCAGAAATCAGCACAGGTAAGACACAAGATACTCTGACACTGCTGCACGATCGGTGTTTTATTTCAAATAACACCCGGAGGAGAGCCAGAACAAGATGTTTGGACATCATTATAATGAATAATAGCCCAATATTGACTAAAACCTAGTAAATAATAGCAAATAACATTGTAGTAGTAGTAATAATATATTTAAATATAATCAAATAATTGAATAAATAATAATAATAATAATAATAACATTATTATTATTAATGGTTAAAACGTATAATATTATTATTAAGTGATTTAAGTACTTTAAGTACTTAAAGGGTTTGTCCCTATTTTACCCAGCACTGGGTTGTATTTAACCCAGCATTTTTTAGAGTGCAGGATGTAAAACATGCGTGG